TATGTCTGTACTGAAAAAAGATGAGACAGGCATAACACAGGTGTGTGTCCCCATGCAAGCAGAGTAGTGTGGTACAAAACCAACTGGGTGACTTGGTGGCTCACTGAGTAAACAATGTTCAGAGGAACCATGCCATTGGGGATTCTCATTTTTTCCTGGTCCATATTACATATTTTTTCCCAAGGTAACCTGATCTTGACTTGAAAGCAGGGCTGTTTGTGAGGCGCAGAGAGCCTGACATCTCAAGGGATGAGTGTTGCTTCCACATGGCAGGGGCAGAGCCGCGAGACCCTTGCTGAGGGTTGTGAACCAAAGAGCAGCATTTTCACTGTTAAATCTCAGCACCCCCTTCAGAGAATGAGCAGCACACTGTGGTTAATGCAGCACAGCCTGAGCTCACCCTGCTTTGAGTTATCAGTTTATTTTCCCAGTGGTGGGAGTTGTTGTTTAAACTAATACAGATCCTGAGTCATTAATACTGATTAGTGACTTCACCGAACAAACAGCCTCTAAGAAGGTATTAATTATGTGCTTTCAGCTAAGTGTGGAATATTTCTCCAATTTTTCCCTTCTTTGTCCAGAATTATTTTAAATACTTTTTATTTGATTTATCAAAACTGTATTTTTTTCCCTGTTGAAAGGCCAAACAGGAAGAAATTGGTTTTATGTCAATTGAATTTTAAAAATTACAGTATAAAAAGCTGTAAAAATGTTATGATGGAAAAAAAATTGGTGTGAGCAAACAAGATCTTGGTAAACTCTTGAAAAATATTGGGTCAGTTTTCCTTTCTCACTGTTTTGTCCATTTATTCAAGAGTCTTAAAAAATTATTATCTGACATGATAATTTGTACACTGACTTGGCCTCTGAATTCAGTTATTCAGGTTGAAATTGCCTCTTAAGTGTGTGCTTATATACAGACATATGCATGAAAAAAATCTGTTAACTGCTTGTTTCACATATTTTTAATGTATCAGGTGAGCCATTTGCAGGATTTGATATTGTTGAGGTGGTTAGTGCAAACAGATATTTATTGGTTTTGAGTGAGATTTCAAAGAATTGACTTTGATTGCTCTATGCAATTCTACAGTCAGTATTTTCCTAATTTTCACTACCTCTTGATATGTGAATATTTCTTTTTAAGAGAAAACAGCATAGATGTAAATTAATTTACAGTTTCATCAGTAAAATTTATCGAGGTAAGATTGTACAAATTCAGTTCTGCTTAACTTGGTTTGAATTTGGAGGACAAAATGAACATGAAAACTGCTAAGACAATGTTGTTTGAGTGCAATATGCTTTTAGTGTTTCAAAAGACAAATGCAAATAAATTGCCTTGAAGTGGTGGTGAGAAAGACCTTTAACTGACCTGTTTCAATAACTTGGGTACCCCAAAAACCTTGACTGTCTTAGGGGTAAGTGCTGCGTCAGGCTGTAGGTTTATACAGCGCAGGAGTTTAACACATGATCCAATTTATCTTGCTATGTTTCCATAATTAGACTTTTGTTTGTTGCCATAGCAAGAACAAACAACAGATCATACAGACAAATCTGACAAATATTTTAAATATAATACTTCTAAAAATGCATGGCTTTGTTTTAGCTCAAGCTATATAAACATAAAAGTCGGTACTAAGACTTTCTGACTGTATAAAGGCAAACTGAGTCCACAGAAGTCTTTTGGAGTTTATACACAGAGTGATATGCATATAATGTGTATAAATGCTGTTGGAATATTATTATCATTAAATTATTCATATTGTTACATTATGCTTATGTTGTATTTACTATAATAGTATATTAAATTATGGTAAAAAACAGTGGTGTAAATATCGCAGCTGTTTCTAGAGGCTTCCAGACAATGACATTACTGTCATTCTGTCCACTGCAGGAAGTACAACCCAAAAATTGCCTTTTTTGAAGATTTTGTTATCAAAATTGAAATCTTCCTAAGGTGGTTTAAGCAGTGCAGAAGGAAATCATTGTAAAGAAATTTGTCACTGTTCTACTATTGGTAAATTCATTCACTTGGCACCTGCTTGTTTTGCTTGTTTTGGGATATTTTTTCACACATATTCTCCTTCGAAACCATAGCATGGAGTTCAAGGACAACGTTGAAATTTTTTTCTTACAGAGGATTTTTTCCCATTAATAATAGAAAGAAAAAAAAACATTGAAAAGAATACTTTTAATTGTGCAGTAGGCTTTTGACAACGTTTTTTACTAAATGTTGTGTTGCTAGGAGCAGGGTAAGCACATAATGAAGAATTAGTAGCACTTCTTATTAATGGACTTTTTAGCTTAGAAATATTAAAGTGGAACTCTACTGACTTATGTTGCCATAAGGTGATGGGGTCATTTTAAATCCTTGCTTAATGTCATTGATTTGGTCTGTGGCTTCACCAGAGAAGGGAAATTAATTCATTTTGAGGTGGTGGAGAATTGATAATGCTTTGAAAAAATTGTAGTAGCATGATTACAGAAGTGAAAATTCTGCAACAAATCTACAGACTTAGAAGAAAGCATTTTAATCAGCACAAGCTGTCTAGACTCAGTCTCAGTGCAAGACATCCTCCAGCTCTGCCAAGGTATAATGGTGTAAACTTTCTGGAAAGAACTCAGATTGATTGGCATTGTTTGTGAAGTATTGATTTACTTCAACATTACAGGTATATGACATACAATATAAGTTTCAGAATTCCTAAACTCTGCAGGTGTTGGTGAAGTACCATAGATTTGGAAGAGTTTTGCTGAAAAGTTCTGATTTCTCATGTGTTAAAAACTAAACAGGTGCAAAACAGTTTTGAAGAATCAGGGCATAATTTTACTTAATACTAAAATTGATTTCTAGGGGACTAGTTAGTGAAAAAAATCAACTTGTCTTGGGTAAAGGTGTCAGAACTCTGCTTAATAAATAGAATTTTGGAAAATACACTGGTTTTTTATAGCCTGTTCCCTTGACAATCTGAGATTGTTTCTTACAATGTTGACTGCTCTATTTTTTAGCACTGTATTTAATTTAGTTGTAAATGATTCAAACTGTGGTGCTTCTACCACTTCTCTAGTCTGTAGCATAAATCTGAATATGCATGTGTTTGCTTGGTATTGCTCAATGAAACAAATAACAACAGATCTGAAAAAGATGTCAGGAAATTACTTATTCTTAATACACACAAAGGATTGCTTATTTCACTGTTATGTTTAAGTATATAATGGCTTCCACCAAAGAAAACTGACACAGATTGTATTTGATTAATGAACACCATTATTTGCTGTTGACTTGAAGAATTTTTCTTTATCTAAATATTTTTTTTTCCAGAATGGGCACTTTTAAAATTAGATTAAGCACTTCTGTATATCTATTTCTACTTCTAGACAAATCACCCTTTTATTCAATTAACATTACTATTTCAAGCTGTACTGAGTAATTTCCCAATAATATAGTATAGAACTGTTTCACTGGCTCCAGCAATCAACTTCTGCAAGAAAATCAGCTGAATAGAAAAGAAAAAAAATATAAATGTGTTGACAATAATATGAGGCCTAAAATGAATGTGTACATTTTTGTAAGATGAATCCTTAGATGTACTTGAATTGTGTTTTTCTAATGAGTGCCTCTGGGTATTGGTCAAATTCGTCATGTCTTAATTGTTGGTATCATGAGAATGTACTTGCTCTTCCTGTTTTTATTTTCCTTTTTTTATGAATTTAAAGTTCAGCAGTCTAAGCTTAGAAGAAAAATAAATATGAATTAATTTTGCCAAGTGATTCTAAAACTCATTTTAATTAGTCTCCTACATTCTAAAGTTAACCTTGATTGCATTTCATAATTTAGATTTTCTTGCCTTTTATAATGAGAAATACTCTCTACTAGTAATGTTAGAAAAGCAGAAGAATAAATTGATGCATCTTTCTTCATTAGCCATGCAGTTTATTTTTCCAAGCTCCTTCGATCAAAAAATCTTGATATGTCAGTTTTGTTAAATTTTGCCATCTACCTGTATGTGTAACTGATTACATTTCTTGATTTAAGGATTAAGGAGTCAATGAAAAAGTTAGCTGAGCTGGAAGACAAAGTCAGTCTTAGAAAATGTTGATCTGTGAATTTCATTACATCAGATTCTGCTTACTCTATCTGACTATTAATACTTAATGCTTGATGCATAATGGATTCTGAAATGTGAACAAAAAAACTGTCTCGGTTTATATAAATACATAAATCTTAAAGCTCCTGTAGGTAGAAAATAGCTTCACAGAGGTAAATTGATTCCCAAGCAGGGAAATATTTTTTCCCACTTATGTCCTACCTATTTTAATATCTTATCTAACTTTACATTTGCAAATTCCATCCATGGACAGCGCATTAAAATTTCTAATCTTGCTTCCTAAGAAATCAATAGAAATTTTAGTCTTACTTTTGAGAGGAACTGTACTAAGTTCATAGTAATATATCAGTCAGTGTGTTATTTTTGTAGATTTTTTTTCTTTATATCTGACTCCTAAGGTAAGAAATCCTGATCAAGGGCTAGAGGCTCCTGCAAAAGCAGTTGACACTACAAGAGGTCCTTGTCCAATACTGTGTGGTACAGTTCAATCTGTGTGGTGTGAGTTGTGGCAGGAGAATTGGTTTCAGTCTCCTTCAGTGATCACACAAAAACCACTGGGCACAGCTGGTGCAGACCCTGGTGTTGGCTTCACTATTCCAATGTCTTGGCAGCTGAAAGGTGGTGCCAAGGTTCTCGTGAGTAACTGGCATGTGAGCCCTAATGGGATTCCAACAGAACCATTGCTTTCTCAACGTGTATTCCATGGAATGGAACCTGGGGCAAAGTTTATGGTTTGTTACTTTGCAGTTTGCACCTTTTCTTTGAGTGTTGTCTGACATGTCCACCTCCATTCTCTTTTGCATTCTCAGGAGAATCCAGTTTGCTTATCAAGTTCTCTTTCTCTCTCTTTTTCTCTTTTCTCTTTTCCCCCCCTCTTTTTTCCCTTTCATCCAGATGGAATGCCATTTGCTTGGTGGGTTGGCCGTGCCAATGAAAAGCACCTTTACTGGGGAGGATCTCTTCCGGGCATTCAGCAGTGTGCCTGTGGATTGGAAGAAAGTTGTCTGGATATGAGATATTTTTGCAACTGTGACGCAGATAGAGAAGAATGGTAATAATTTTAACATGTGTATAGCAGTGTCTGTGTGAAGAGTTAGGGATAGGAGGTAGGGGAAGAAGGCTTAAATCTTTTCTGCTGCACGGGTCAGGAAGCTTGAGTGTAATCTGATAAAAATGAAAATGAAAATAGAATTTGGACATCTGATTTCATCTTAAATTCTTATGTTGAACAAAGACGTCTGGCTGAAGCAGGTTGCTGGGATGCTTCAAAAACATCTTCTTTGTTGAATGCCAAATCAGGTAATTTTAGTTGCTTAAAAGTTTGGTTCAACAGGAGCATTACATGAATAAAGGCTCTATGAGCTTGTTTCATAGGTGTACATCAGAGCAGAAAATTGAGACCTAGACAGAAAAATTCAGATACAGCTAAACAGGAAATGTTTTTCATATTTTTCTTATGAATCAGTATAATGTGCCTTAACCTTCTTTTACATTGGATCTCAAGCTTTTTAAGGTTGATAAGAAGAGTTGTTTTGCTTCTGTGGGTTTTGCTTCAGTCTCTATAGGAAGTTTTAGAGTCACAGCATGAAAATTCAAAGCTCTCCTTGGGTTCTCTGACATTTGTTGTGCTCTGATGCTGCATGGATCTGAGAAGTCCACCTCACAATTTTCTGTCATTCTCTGCACTTTCAGAAACACCCCAGCCACCAAGAGCTAGTTGGGGAACTTTCCAAATGTGTTTGAGGGGACTGAAATGCCAGATGAGTGTTATTGGAAGTACAGTTTGAAACATTGAACATACATGTGAAAATTCTGCTCACTCACTCTCCCTTCTAGGCCACTCACTGATAGGATCTATTGTAATTTATCTGAAAAAAAGATATTTTAACCTTGAGTAGTTCAGAAATTGTGAGTAATGGAAGTAGACAGGAAATGTCTTGCTGTCATAGGCTGCTGTGTTTGAAACATTGTCAGAATTAGCCCTGTGAAACCTTCACTTAAAATGAGTAGAAGGGAATGGTAAAGGGTATTAAAACATAAAAAAATCAGAAGTTACTTGTCACTGTAAGTGTTGGGCTTTTTTGGTTGCTTGATTTCTAGACAGTGTGATTATTTGCTTGGACCCTTTGAATCCCTGGGGTCACTATGTGCTTTCAAAAATTACAGCTTTAAGGAGATTTCTTCAGGAAGATGTTTATGTAAATATTGGCTTAGGAATGTGATTTGTATTGAATAGCATGGCTGTGCATGTTAATCTGTCTTTTCTTTAATGTTTGGTTATCAGATGTGCTTTTGGCGAGGTTTGCACATGAGCATCACGAGCATCTGTTTTTGCTGGTGCTTGGCTCTTTTCGTAATCCACGTTCCATTTTTCACTGCTCAAGCAGAGCATGGGGTTATGCTGGCAGACACTGTGGTTGCAGTCTTAGACTGCAGGCCACTGCACCACTAGACTGTACAAACCAATGCAAGGTGAAAGCTAAATGCAATTTTATAATATTTCAGCTGAGTCTCCTCAAGAAATGAGACCTAAATAAGCTATGCTGTGAGTGTTTATCTCCATTTCCCCCCACACACCCCCAGTGATTTTGAACAAGCAGACATGTTTCAAACATCTTGGACAGAGAAGAAGTCTCAAAAGTATTGCAAATTACACATTCTATGAAAATTTATGCCAGGCTGAGGGGAAAAAGCCAATTAATGCCCACAAGAAGGAAGTTAAGGAAGCATACACTTTTATTAGATTTTGGAAAACCCTCATGGGAGAAAGATGTTGGAAATCATGCATCGTTAGCTTGGCAGCTCAGAGAGCTACTTGTTCCTCCTAATTTCATGATAATAACAGAATATGCTTACAAGTTACCTCCAATAAACTGCCTACTGTTTATTGGTTTGGAGATTCAGTTGCTTAGGTTTTTAATCCATGAGAAAATTTTACTTTGGCAGTATTATAAGCTGAAGGTTGGCTTTATAAAAGCTAAAAATCCCTGACCTTTGTGGAGGGTTTCTAAACATAAGAAATTTCATGCCTCTTGAAGATTGCTTTTGTGTTTCCCTGCTAGAACACTGACCCCCCGATATATAATGAGCATTCGAATCTGAAACCTGCTGAGATCTGAACTGTGACTTTAACCTGCTATACATTATAGTGGAAGGAACAAGACAGCAGCAGATGCATTTATTTGCCTCAGCATGAAATAAAATGGGTGCTGCAGAGTGGAAAGCCAGAAAATCATTTTTGCTCCTTTTAGATAAATCATGCTGCTCCAAGGTAGGAACTCTCCAGAGTAGCTGAAGCATCCTCCTGAAGAGGAGACAGTCCTAGGATTTTCCTTTGATTTGTTTTCCCTAGACTAAATCTTGAGTGCAGAAGAAGCTACTAATTTCTCAGAGCAGCAAGAGAAATTATAAACAATGGAAAGCAGACCTGCCAAATCCTGTGCCAGGTACAGCAATATGGCAGCACACAATATGCACTTCCAAGCATGCTGACTTTTAAATGATATCTGAGCAGACACCTGAGCCAGCTGCTATTTTTGGGCTCTTACTTGACATCAAGTTAGCCTCCCTGGCCAGATGAATAGGAATCTATAATTAAGCATTCTAGTTTGGGAAGGCTTTTCTATTTTTCATCTTCATCTTTTTATTAAACGGTTGTACTGATAATTATCTTTTTCCATATGGCTCATCATGCTTCCAAACTCCACAGTAGGATGACAGTGAAATCTGTCACTTCAGAATAGTGGAGCATCTTCATGGTGTTTTCTGGAGAATGGGAGATCTCTGATGAGGAAGCAGAGGCACCTGCAACTGCACCCTTTTTATTGACCCAAGCAAGGGATCTGAAAAAGTGTAAGACATGCCTTGGCTGTGTGCTGCCAAAAAAAAGATAAAGATTTCTGACTGCTGAAAGCACTTGTTAGTGGGGGGAACAGTCATAAAAATCCAGTGGCTTTAAGTTGAAGTTAAACCTAGTTCAGAAAATTTTCTGTCTTACTCTTTCTCTTCTCCCACCATGACAATAGTTAAAGGTTGGGACAAGCTCTGTATATATGAGACATATTAGTGATTGACTTTTAAAATACACACCCTGTTTCGAAGAAAAATGCATTCTTGATTAGGGATTGTGTTAAACTGACCTAAAGAAAAAAGCATTTCTGAAATACTGGCAGGATAGTGTTATCATGAGATCTTTTAGATCTCCAAATACCTCTCCCAGGCTGTCTTTCATCTCAAGCAATATTCTCTTGCCTTGGCAGTTATGGTCTTACTGCGCACCAAACCTTGCATTTAAGGGGGAGGAAACTCTTTCATTCTGAGTTGAAGCACATGACTGTCCTGAAGTCCTTTTGCTACTTTGGTCCCTCTATCTGGAATCTGTTTTCCATTTCAAATACAGACCCTAGAGTGAAGCCAGTGAATTTGGAGACCTCTGCAACTTTTTATTTTGTACGGAAAGAGAGGCATCTCTGGAACTCATTTTGTACTAGAAGCTCAGGCATCTCAGCAAAGTGTGGTGAATGGTGTTGCTTCAAACAATTAGCTGATTTGCCATCTTTTATTTTTATTCTGCAGTCTTATTCAAACTAGAGGAGTATCCTCCTCTTTTATCTTCAGAACCGTCTTATTCACTGGGAAACTAAATCTTTGAGTCTTGCCATTTCCAAATTGACATGCATTCACCTCTGTATTGCGGCTTTGGGGCACTACAAGAATAAGGAAAACCACAGAACATGATACGAGGAACAAAATAGAGGGTGGATATTACAACTGTCAGACCCGCTTTGTCTCCCAGAGGTGTAATGAGAACATTGAGCTTTGTTTGAGGAGGAACAAAGCCAAATGGAAGTGAATGAAGCCCTGCTTGGATGAGCCATATTTGTGCTAAGCTAATGCCAGAGCCAGGGTGATAAAACTGGAAGGGCAGAGAAACCCTGATGAGCCCAGATTTGACAGGTTTTGTTTGCTCAACCACTATCCCACACTGAATCCGTTCCCTGAGAAGCAGTGCAGGCAACTCCAGAGAGCCTGTGAGCTCGTAAATAACCCCTGCCAGAGGTGACCTGGCCTGTACAGGGTTGTCTTGGATATCTGCCTCATGACTACATTTGTCAACAACCAGGAAGAGCTGCCTGCAGAGAGCTGACTGTAGCAGGTCCCTGAGGTGTCGAGAATCAGTTCATTACACTAATTACCAAACTCTGTACCTCTAATTCAGCCAAATATACGCAGTGCATCTTGCCTTCAACTGTTAGGTATGTCCCCTTGTGCTGGTGTTTTTTAGTTTATCATGAATGTACATTATTTTACTCAGTAAAGCATTTTTGGATACGGCTCATGGGTAAGATAGCAATTAAAATGTATTCCTCTGTATTATTAATGGTATGTAGTGCACAGGCCTCAGAACTTTTCCTGATGGAAGCCTATGTCACAGGCCCATTCCTTATGAGTTTCCTTGCCATCTGCTGATGGTAGTATTCTTTTCCCCAAATGTATGGTATTCCTGAAAATCTGTACTGAATATCTGAGCTACTGTGGCTCAGATCCCACCAGAGTTTCCATTAATGTGCAAGAGAAAAACATACCAATAGGGGATCATATGAGAATAAATTATATTTAATAGCACCACTGTTCTACCATCTGTTACAAAAAATATGGAAATGGCTACCTAGAGATTAGCAATTTATGATGGCTCACACTGTTAGAACACCATCGAGCAAGGGTTTGTTGAGCGCACTTTTAGTAGTAGCCAGGAAGAAGAAAAATAGTTTCATAATGTTACCATCCAAATAGCTATTTGTCATTTACATGTGAGTCTGCCTTTGCTACATCTTGAAGGACCCAGCTGCTGCACTATCACCTTTAGTAGCAAATTATTTTCATTTTTTTAAAATTGGTCCATACATAGAGCAGTTGTTTGATATGTGACTTGCTCATAGCTTATTGAGGAAGACCTTTGGGTTGATGTAGGCATTAATCTTCAGATGTGGATAAACAAATGACATCCAACTGTATTTAATACCCATAAACAACAATTTTTCAGTGATTTAATTTAAAGGGCATTATTGGATTTGTTTGGTTTGGGTTTTGCTTGTGGAAAGGACAAATTGACACTATCCTTTATGCAAAGAGCTCAGAAAAACATCTGTTTGTTGAGTGTTGTTTCCACCCTCAAAACATTCAGATTTTCATCTGGTTTTGTGCCAAATCGAGTGCCAAGTCCAGTAAGCACGAGTTTGACTTCTGAAGTTATTAATTTATTCATACCATTTTCAGTGAGCAGAGGACTCCTTTTGGTAAAGTGATAAAACCAGCCTTGATTTTTGTGAAATCAGGACTTAACTTACAAGGGCTGTGCTTGGTGGAAGTAGCCACAGAGTGCAATGTGAAATCCAAGGAGATTTCACATTGGAGAAAAAAGTAGTGGCTAACCTGAGAAGCAGCTGTGGAAAAGCAAATATAATCTGGTTTCAAGTGTGTGAAGTGCTAAATTAAAATACATAAAAGTAAAAAGAAGCTCTGGGAACAAATACAAAAACATTAACATAACAAGGTTTTACTTTTGTTTAAAAGACAAAATCATGTATTTGCACATCAGAGTGCAGATGCTTTTTATCAGGAAATAAAAATTTTATTTGAAAAGTGTAGTAGATGAAAAATGTTCCCCAAGCCCCCTTCAGGCAAAGTTTCAAATGTTTTGTCCAAACCCTGGTATATTTGTATTTTGTAGTGCCACAGCAGTGCCTCCAGGAAGTTATTGTACAGGTATACGAAGCTCTTTTGCTCCTCTCTCAGGAATAATACGTTGTATTTGAGAGGCTGCCATGGTGTAGCACATAGAGAAGAGGAATTGTGGTGCTTTGTGAGAAATGGAGTCTGAAATAAGTTCAATTTAAGGAATACCAGGAATTCGAAACACTCATAGTGTCTTCCACTCTCTTTTCTGCTTTTCTTAGCTGAAATCACTTAGGTGTTGATCTTTCACCAAAAACTTTATTTCCTACTTTGAAATAATAATAATTAACTGCAACGATAGGTATGTTGTTCCTCACACTGACACGTTCTCTGAAGGACAGAATATTTTTCTGATAGGTTTTATTTCAATGTCTGCTTGTGTGAAAATACATATCATTACATGAGGGTTTTTTTCCATGTGTGAGAGAACAAAATGCATAAAATGTGCTTTTTGAGTTTGAAGAGAAGCTTGATTGAGTTTTCAAGGCATTAACAAAGAAGTGAGGATTTTTATTAATTCTAGAATATATTTCTCTCTCACACTTGAGCTATGCTACTAAAGTTCACTGTGACACTGGCATATAAGTAGTAAAAATTCAGTAATAAAATTTGATATAAAAGAACTTCATGCAGTACAGCAGAATATCTAATAAGCAATGCAGTTTTCAGAGATGTGGAATAGATATCTTTAAAATGTCACCATTTCATGGTTTTTTGTAGATATTTTGAGTGCTAGCTGTAGAAAGATACGGATTTTTATTTTAATGCTGATCATAGCTAGTAAAAAGACTGCACCATTTTTAAATTTAAATAATTTTTTAGGAAACCTCCCTAAATATTTTTGAAATTTTTGAAAAATTTTATTTTAAGAAAGAAAACACGACCTTAGTTGCTCATATGTATATTCAATATTTCATGTCCCATTACTATGCATCTTTCTGCCTTTTTTTTCATTCACTTTGCCTGCTTTTCTTCCTCTATCACTAGAATACCTTATTTAATTATTCTCCTAAGAAATACTTAAATAATTTCACTTTTGTCACAGTAGTTTCATAATCTGTTAAGAGTATTTACCCTAAATTTCAAGTATTGATACAATAAGCTATGAGTGTGATACTGAAGAGATTTAGAGACCCTGTACCTTTGATTCATACATGATAGTTTTCCTTCTGAGTCAGTACTGAAGGTCTCACTCTGCCTCACGCCTGGGAATTTCATCTTGCTGCACTTTGTCTGTAATTATTTGCATGTCAGATGCCCACTGGAGCAAGAAGAAAATGTTAGCATTGAAGAGGGTACCTCTCCTTTTCCCCGTGGCATTATGAAACAATTAACTACGCTGCATGCAATTATAAGCAATGAAAAATAAATGCAATGTGTGCAGCCTTTATGAAAAAGATCAAAATGCTCGTATTTTTGTCTAACATTAATCAGAGTAGAGCACTTAGCCAAGCAAACATTTGGGGTTGTGTGTCAGAGCACAGCTGCAGTGTTTGTCCTGATTATTATTTCTTTGCTAGAAGTCTGTGTCTGTTCCTGTATCTGGAACTACACTGAGAAGTTGACATTACAAAGAGGATATGGGCAGGTCTGGGATCCTGCCTGGGATCAGGTAGGATTTGGCCGTGTCAGCACTCAACTAGCGATACCTGTTTCCTGAGGCACACCTGCCTGCAAGAGCAGTGGGTATAAGTTTGGGGTTACTGGCATTTTGGATGCCAGTAACACATGTTGCCATCCCTTTGTGCAGACAAGTGAGTTGAGTCCAGACCCTGCTGGGCTCTGCAGATGTAGAGATCCTTTCTCCAAAACTATTGAGATTTGGTTCCATGAAGGATGCTCTGCCACACTTATGTGCCCAGATGTACAGCAAACCTTGACCTTGAGAAAATCACTGGGGAGATTCACAGCACTCATCTCTCTATTGTCAATCAATAGAGAGAGACCTCAGAAGGGCAATTCTGCTCTGGTAAGGTCAGGGGTGGTGTCTGGGGGACTCTGCTGGGTTCATGAAGTGCAGTGGAATGAATGCACATCTGTGTACCCTACCAGAGCCAAAGCCACTCAGATGGCTTAAGGACCTAACATGAAACATCACACTGCATTTTGAGGACAGCTTTTTGTCCAGCTGACTCAGAATAAAAAAAAAATTATCCTTTAAGAATTAAACTTCCTTTTCCTTTCTAGCAGCCATGTGTAAGTTAGTCACAGCTAAGAACAAGCCCAGCTAACCAAACATGAGAAGTTTGACAATGCAGTAAATCTGCCTTGAGTATTTCAGTTGTTGAACCTGGTGTGCAGTGCAAAGGATCGATTCAGTCCAAACTCACTCTGCCAATTCAGCTGGTTTTGCAGTGTGCAGGGTCAGCCTGTCCCAGCCATCTTGAAGCTGGATCAGTAATTGTCTGGCTTCCCCTTGCTAACAGTGGGCTGGATCAGGCATCACCTGTCCTCTTCCTGCTCGAGTAAAGCATAAAGCCAGCATAAAACACCCTTACCTGTCTCCAGCTGACTTTACAGAAATGCAGACTTGGACTTAGACCTGATCCACAGCAAATACATCCTGCTGAGGAAACCCCCTAGAGCCCAGTTTACATTAATGCCCATTAGTCAGCATGGCAGTGCTCTTCCTTGGCTTCACAGTAGTTCTGCACAGCTGAAGCAGGTTTACAGCCCATCACAGCCAGTATTGCGTATCCAAATGGTGTCTTCAGTGGTCAGTATGGCATGTGAACATACAGCCTACATGGGAACACATTTATCTCAAACAGTGTGTACTTGTCGTAATTCTTCCAGGTAATTCTGCAAAAGCTCTTTAAGTAAGCATCTTTTAAATATTCTCTTGCACGAGGAGTGCTAGGGGGTTTGTCTGTGGTTAATCTGTCTCTTTCTGTTTGTGTATTAAAATCCAGGACGAATGATACTGGCCTCCTTGTTTTCAAAGACCATTTGCCTGTAACTCAGATTGTGATCACTGACACAAACAGATCAAATTCTGAGGCTGCTTGGAAAATCGGCCCTTTGCGTTGCTATGGAGACAGTGAGTACTAGCTCTTCTCAATTTCCATAGGTACAGAATGTTCCTTTTTTGTTGTTGTTGTATTTTTTTACAAAAAGACTCTCTGATAAAAGGTGGCTTTCCACATGCAGCCTGCAGCTGCTGTCCTGTGCCAATTAACTATAGAGAAGGGGGTTGTGTTTGCAGGGCAGTTCTGGAATGCTGCTTCCTTCAACACGGAGGCCTCCTACCTGCACTTCCCCACGCTCCACGCCGAGGTCAGCGCGGACATCTCCTTCTTCTTCAAAACCACCGCCCCGTCCGGGGTGTTCTTGGAAAACCTTGGCATTAAAGACTTCATACGAATTGAAATAAGCTGTAAGTTTCACTGCTCAGAAATCTTGGTGGTTTTGCCCAATTTGACAGATGCAGAGAACTGGGAAGGACATATTTTCTGCCATTTTTAGATGGCTGTAAGTGCCTGGAGATGATAAGATGGAAACATAAAGATTCTTTTATCCAGACTTACCTACCTCTCCTGTCAGAGTTTCCCTTTATAGACTTGATCATTACACTTAATCTTGTTATGGCTAGATTTATCTTTCTTAAACAAGACTATGAATTTATTTTTTCAACACTGATATTTATTTTAAAATATCTTTCAAGAAAAGACTACTGGTTTCGAGTTGAAACTTGAAAAGTTTAATGCAACCGTTCTGATGGTTACTTTTATTTCCATATCAGTAACATACCCAGTGTTATGCAGCCCTAGTGTTTCAAAGGAACTCAGTGGGTATGGTAGAGCTACGAGATGAGAGTTTATGAAGGACAGGACACTAATGCAGTACAAGTTAGTCACAGTTGTAATGGATCCTGAATACTTCGAAATCTATTGAGTGAGTGCAGTGTAACTGCTACTCAGTGTATAAGGAAAATAGCTGGGAATTTAATTAGTGAGATTTTGCCTCACTCCTCTTGTGATGACTTCAAATATTTATTAGTGACAAAAGAGTACAGTGGCTTTGACATGAAATACGACACGTGTATTCCAAATTCTGTCAAGCTGAGGGAAAACAAACTGAGTGCTATGCATCTGATAACATGCTTATAATAACCCCAAAATAAAATTTAATAAAACAGGGCCCCAAGGCCCTTTGATTCATTAAACCAGTGGTAAATGTCATGGTGGATTATCACAAGGTAATGAGGTGTGATTTACTGTTAATTGCACATCAGGGTTCAATTTGGTTGCACTTCAGGGTAGTGCATTTGATTCTCAGGGATACAGAAGTAAAAATGGCATCAAATATAACAAATACTGTGAACTAAGAGGATTGTTCAGTGAAAGCTTCTGGATGTGTTTGCATCTGTACTCCTAGAGAAATGAGTTATTTAAAAGTTTGGGAAAAAATCTTTTAGACTTAGGCTTCTCATCAGTGGTTTGTTGTTGTGCTTCTTGCTACCAGAAGCAATTTGGTAGCAATGGAATTTGCAGCCTAAAGGCCTTGTATCAAGGAAGCTCCATGGAGCAGGGGCTTCAAGGGAAACAGCTTTTTAGCAGATGCAGGGGCTCAGAATAGATCTTTGTCTATCCCTATGGAGCATTTCCTATCTTAGCTATCTAAGAAGCAGCTTCTAAAACCAGACCTATCCAATTTTTTGGGCTTGAAATAAGAAGGTTTTTAGGAATTTTCAGTCCACAACCTTCTGGTTATGTGATATGTGGGCCTGGTTCTTGGCCTTTGTGGTGCATTTAGCATTTTAGGAAAAGGAAAATAATCAGTAGCAAGAGAGGAAGGTGGACTCTTTTATGTGGCTTTTATTTTTCAACTATTGTCTTGTTTCTAGATGTGTGTTACATATACAGCTTTAGTTTAGAATCACCCATTGAATAGTTTCCCCCATCAATTTTTTTGTGCATCTTGGGTCAGAATTAGGCAAATGCTTCTAGTATTCTCTTGTACCACATGCAGCCAAGTTATGTAATGGTTAATTGCCTTCATTTTGAAAGATCTAGTTGGAAAGATCTTCCTCCTTGCTCCCATCTTAACATTATTTGTAGAAAATCTTTTGGGACTATTGTGTGACTTTTGTGCAGTATTTAGCACTTTTACTTCAAAAAGAAAAGTGCTATTTCTAGATCACTCTGATTTTTATAGCAAAAAGGATAGGTACCCACAACCAAGCTTAATCACAGCAGAGATCAAACAGTAAGGCTGCAGGCTTAAATTTATGTATAAGCTGCTGTGTAGGAGATGGGAGGTAAATGATCCTCTACTATTTGCTCACATAAAAGTTAATGGACCCTATATTTATGTAAGATTTCTTGATGTCAAAACCACTCTTTAGTTCACTTCCTCTTCACATCTGTTTATCTCTTGCAGCCCCCAAGGAGATCACCTTCTCCATAGACGTGGGGAATGGCCCCGCAGAAGCCACCGTGCAGTCTCCCACAGCCCTCAATGACAACCAGTGGCACTACGTGTGCGCAGAGAGGAACCTCAAGCAAACCTCTCTGCAGGTGGACAACCTCCCCAAGAAGGTCCTGGAGGCCCCAGCTGAGGGACACTTCCGCCTGCAGCTCAACAGCCAGTTATTTGTAGGTAGGGACAATCCAAGGGTTCCTGTAGATAACAGTATTTCATGTAGTTTGGTGATGAATGCTCTTCCCTCACCATTGAGCTTGCATGTGGTGGCTTGATTTTGCTTTTTCTTCTTCTCCTTCTGCACAGACAACATGAATAACATGAAGAACACTCAAGGCACAAACCATAGTTTAGCCATGCTATACTTGATGGTATTTTTGGGGTCAAACTCCTAAAATGTATTTATTTCCAAAGAGTTAACAACCTTTCTTGTTATGCAGCACTGGCTGTGAAAAATGCCATAAAAAATGTGACCTCTCTCTTTAGGCACATTGTAAAAGTCAAAAATTTTTCATATAAGTTTCTGGGGCAAAGCCTGAAGACAGTATGGTCTTTAAATTCTATTCCTTCAAGCATGCTCACCAAAACCCGTATTTAGCTAGAGAGTCCATGAGTGAGAGAAGTATGAACACAGCCAAAACAAATAGGGATGTTTTATCTGAAAGTGATTTTTCGAAGAAGAAAAAGGAAAATTAAAAGAGGGAAGAAAAGTCTCTGCATATATTTTGTTTACTTATCTCCCTTGCACAAGAAACCTGGATTGGGACTACTTTGTGTTTGATAATATGATAATGGGTTACAAAGGGAATTATCTCTTTTCTGTATTCAAATGCTGTCTTTCTGAGTAATCTGCTCAAGTGATGGAGTGGGATGTAACTGTTCTTGTGCAGGGCCATTCAGGTAACTCCTGATTCCTTCCTTCAAATGGATTTTTTTTACTTAGCTGAAATGCTAAGCGAACCTCAATCTGTCAATGCATTTTAATAAAGTTTACTTCTGTATTCATACCCTTATACTTAAGTAGCTTTCAGGGTATTCATTTGAGCTTTTTATTGTGTATGTGTGCAGTAATTACTGGGCTCTGAACATAAAGAATTAATCTGTTAATAAATAGATATGACTGCATCAATGTCAGGAGTCCTTCCAACGCAGCTGTTGATTTATACTAAAATGATCTCTGTTAGACTCAGCTGGAGAGGAGAACACACAGAAAGGAGGCTTAAGACTGTCACAGTGCAAGGTTTCTGTTTTCTGCTATGAAGCATGCTGCTAATCACTTGTTTTTCAAATACTACATTGATCCTAAGAACATGTGCTGTGGGAGGCCAGGCCTGGAGGCAGCAGGCTTGGGCTGCCAGACACCTTAGAAACATCAGAGAAATTTAGCCAACATACTGTTTGCAGTTAGGAAAATTGGAGATTTTGTGGCTGAATAGATACGATTTTTTGGTTGTTTCTTTCTAAAGGACTAAATATGATGGATTTTTCATAGGTCATCTATTAGATATATATATCAACTGTTTACCATCTCACATCTGAAAAGCAGTGTCTGCCTGTAAGCTTGCTCCTCAGCCTCAGCAAAATAAACAGGTTACCTGTGCAAATTTCTTGGTGGTTTTAAAGTGACATAATTGATGAACTGTCTAATGAAAATCTATGGTAGTTAAGGACCTCACCAGAGCAATGTGCCAACAGAATCAAAGACAAACAAAAAGCCCTGCACCTGCCCAGAACAGCATCAGCATCCTCACAAGCTGGGGATTGAGTGGATGGGGAGCAGCTCTGCCAAAAAGGTCCCCTTGGTTTTGGTGGAAAAATGAATTTGTACCTCATCTGAATGTAGCTGTGCTTTAAGGAATAGGTTGGAACCTAGTCCCTGATACCAGCAGGGACTTCTGACTGATTGTACTCTGATTGCAGTGAGTGTTTACAGAAAACTCTAGGATATGGATATTTATTTCAGCCAAGAGGTGAAAAGTACTCACTGTGCAATAAATATGTTGCATTCTGTCGTCCATCCACACTTTTACTGAACCATGAACAAAAGGGACAGAAAAAAAAAGAGTTTGAGAGTGCTTTTTCAGGCCTTAACTCTGCCAGATTGAAGGCCAAAATTATCTGTGACTTGCTAAGTTTTCCTGAGAGCTGTCAGAAGAGTTGGAAACCTGGGTTGCCTCCTGATTCTGGCACTATTTCTCCCCGGGTGCTCCAGGGAAAGGTGGCAGAAGTCCAGCAATACACAGATGTGATATAGTTTGTCTCTACTGAAAGACTCATTTGAATCTCATAATAAAAAGCTACTGATTTAATACCTCAGCCATGCAGAGAGAGCTTCAACCCATCTGAAAAATAAATGTATAAACACCATTGTAAAAAGGAAAGAAGCAGAAGCACGTAATATTGCTCCCTACTCCCCCTATAATCCACAACATATTTGTCTCTGCAGTATTCTGCATACTGACAGTGATTAAGGGGTTTCCAGCCTTAATGACTGTGTGTGGCAGGCTTTTGAGATAGCTGTGTGTGTCTGTGAAGTGGAAGAGAAAAATGACTTTGCATTGCCACTACACTCAAACAAGCTTGGGTTTTAGTGCAGTTAGAAAGGAATTAGAAAACCATTTCTCACTTTCTTTTAATGGATCTTGGGTACTAACTGCTTCCAGCTGCATTATAATCTTATCAGAACATGGATATCCTTGCACCTGGCCAGATTTCTTCAGTAAATTTGGAGAAAAAGTATAGTAGAAGAAGCAAACCCCAAACAAATATGCAGGCTAAGTAACATCAACTGCACCAAACTGTCCAGTGACGAGCAAATTCAGCAAATTACTTGCTCAGAAGGGGCAGGCAAAAACCATTCCTTTCAACACTTAGTATGTTTTACATGGTTTTGTATGGTGCAGCTCTCCCTGTCCTGGAGTAGTTTTGTCATTGTGGCATGGTCTGAGATGAAGCCCTGTCTTACCTACTGGTGAAGGCATGAGCATGAGACTCCATCATGGGATGGGAAAGACTGTCCTCCCAGACCACTTTGAGGGTAGGATTTGAATTCATCCTGGTAACATCACAGAGGCAAAATAAAAGTCCTGAAAATTAATCTGATGTACAAAGCTTTAGTCAGAAATTTATGTGGTATTTGTTTGGTACATTTAGGAAATTAGCAAAGCTAAGTGTTTGTGTTCCTGGTTTTGTCTTGGGAGAAAGTGAGCAAGGAATGAATCCTTGGGTGAACCTCCTCTGTCTGCTGTAGACAGTCCAAAGGCAACATAACCCAGAGAAAGTCAACATCTGAGAAACTTTCTCTGGAGACAGAGAGGAGGAATGATAGGAAAAAAAGGAGCTTATTTACTGCTGATGGCTTTAAAACCATTTGTAGACACCTTGGAATATTTTGGAGGCCAAGAGGAGGAATTAAAGCCTAACTCTTTGTGTATCCTGTATGCTCTGTATGTATTTCAGCTTGAGACCAAAAATTGTGACTTCAAGGTCTTCTGAGGAACACCACAGGAAGTTCTCCTGCTCCTGATTATGATTCCTGTACTTCTCTGCCCTTTCCTTTTCTTTGTATCAGTTATACAAATGCTCCTAATACTTATTTTCAGCCTCTCTAATCCAGCTTCCACTAACAAAAAGTCCTTTGTTTTTTTAAAACAAATCCTCAACTCATTGCTGGAATGTTAATTATTTAGTCAATTGTGTCACCAAGCTATGCTGTGAGTGCTCAGTTGAGTGCTTCTTGTCCCCTCCTCTCAGACTCTCCCTTCTTTTCCCAAGGGCTCCTCACAAAAAATCAGCTGCATAAACACCTTGCTGGAAACAGCTTGGCTCACTTGGCTGTCACCTCTACTTTGAAAAGTACACCCTTAACCTTGGTGTTTTTGGTCCTTAGGCTTATCCTAAAATATGTTTTCCTGAATAAAACATTTAGGTCTCATCCTTTAAAGTCTCTAGTCCATCAGGCTCCTGTTAGAGTTGGAAGAATTTACAAAGCCTAATTTAGGGAAGAGTTTTGTGTGTTTGTTTTCAGTTTTTTCTTTGTTTTGCAGGAATGTATATGAAGATTAAGCCTAGTCAATTGAAGAAAATTGTCCAAAATAAGTAATAGTTTTGCTTAATCAATGCTGCGTGAGTCTAGGTTCATATAGCTGGTCTGTGTTAAGCTCTATATTCTCCAGAAAATATAAGATGAGAAGAGTGAGAAATTTTACATGGCTTTCCAGAGGGCTTTAGAGAGCAATAAGAATATGAGTAGTGCAATAAACATGACATTCATAGAACAGTTAGCAATAGTTTTAACTCATTTTTGCTGTGTTACAGCTGGGATTGGTGTGTGTATTGAGAAGAGGCAAGGAAACTGTCATTCATCCTTGTAATATTTGTGGTGGCCTCCAATGCAAAAGAAAATAGAGTAACCAGTAGCCTTAAAGGGAGAAATTCCATTTCTACTTACATAGACTTTACTAAAATATCTGTATGGTATGTTTTGGTTTGGGTCAAAATCTCCAAACAACAGGACTGTGTGTGCAGTGCAGCAAAAGCAGAAAGCCTGATTCTTGTCCTCAGAGGGCATTTAAAATAAGTGAGCTAACATTTGCTCACCTGAAAACAACAGCTGGCTAAAGAGGAACTTGAAAATATTTGTTTCTCTGAGAAAGGCATCATAAAATGTGTGTGAAGAGACGTGTCTCATGCATACTATCTAAAGTTCAATTACTTTAATTCACATCCAGTGAATTTCTGCTATTAGTGTTCCAGAAAGAAAAGTATGACAGAATGGTATAGTAGAATACCAGATCTTTTCAGACTGTTACTGCATTCTCTTTAGTTTGCAGAAGTCTTGTTTTAATTAATTTATAGAATAAAAACAAATGCTCTTCTACTGGGGCTAATCAAGTGATGCAATCTCTTAAGTCATACATTATGAAAAAGAACCAATTTCTACAGAAGAATAATAACTTCTTTCATACTACTTTTTGCAGGAGAATCACCAATAAAGCTAGCTTTTAAGAATCTGCAAATGCTGATAACTCCTGAACCAGAATTAGATTTCCTAGCAGCAATCAAAACTGCAGTATCTTCAAAAGCAAAACATTGGCAACTGCCAAAAAAAGTGTATGATAAGAAAAATGGTCGTATTTTCATAGAGAACTTCAACAATCATCATTATTATCATTCTCAGAGATTGCCTCTTATGGAGAAGTGCCTTCACTGTAACACTGTTAGCAGTTTCATTTGACAGATGTGATGCTGGTTAGCTTGTAGAGACTGAACTGCCCTCTTGCATACAGCTCTGGTCTCCAGGAAGAAATGCAATTATGTCTAACCATTGTACTAAATAACACATCTGTGAACTGAACTCATGTTTCAGACCTGCAAAAACCATTGGCATGCAGCACATCAGGCTGGGCAGTCATGCATAAATTCAGACTCCAGTATTTCCCTCCAGCCAGCAGGCCTGGTGCTGAGCATGACTCATCCCTGCTATCTGGGCTCATCAGCATGTGTAACCCTCCTGCTGGTGGGATTAGGGTGTTGTTTGTACTAAGGCAGCAAATAGCAAAAAACAACAAAAACCCCAACATTTTCAGTCTGGTTTTCTCATATATTGGGTGATATGCAGACATAAGATAAAGAAACTAATCTTTCTCCTAAATGAATTTGTGGTTTCAAAGAGAAGAGACACAAAAAGAAAGTGTCATATACAGCTTTCTAGTTCTTTCATAAAAATAGAGAGACACCTTTAGTTTCCAGGGCTGTTCATCTGTCTTCTACCATTGTATGCACTGATACATAGTATTTTTAAAAAATTTGTGAATTCGTATTTGTACTTCAGGATAGGATTGAACTTCATGGCTTTGATTACTGTTCAGACCCAGTAATGAGTGCATTTTTCTCTCTTTCTCAGGGGGAACAGCTTCCAGACAGAAGGGCTTTTTGGGATGTATTCGATCTCTGCATTTAAATGGACAGAAACTTGACCTCGAGGAGAGAGCTAAAATGACACCGGGTGTAAGACCTGGATGCCCAGGACATTGCAGCAGTTATGGGAACCTGTGCCATAACGGAGGAAGATGTGTGGAAAAGTATAATGGTTACTTCTGTGACTGCACCAACTCAGCCTATGAAGGACCTTTCTGCAAGGAGGGTAGGCAGCAAGTTTTGATCCCAGTTATTTGTGCAATAACTCTGAATTAAAGCACCATTTCACTCATGTCAGCTTGGTGTCCCTACATCTGAAGATATTCTATTATCAGTTGTTCCTTCAATGTTCTTAAATGTTTCTCTTAAGCAGAAGTCAACATCTCCTTTTGTTGACTTCTGTGTTGGCCTCAGAATTTAAATTGGTGTTAGTTGTACTAATAGTTTACCACTATATCCCACTATGATTCCTGTATTCCATTGCATGTAACAATCCCCAGACATTAGGAAATAGGGCTGAAATGTGTTATAGCAGGTGTTTGACCATGTCTGAATGTTTAGGTTGCTTGTTTTTTAAACCTCATCTTCTTTTCTTCACCTTAACAAATCCTTGAGGTTTTTCTTCACAAAGTTTTAGAGCATTGTGACAAAATGTGACAAAAAAGAGGTATTCATTTTATGTTGGGATTTTTTTTTCCATTCCTGCGACAGCCCATCCAAACGTTAAGAAATTTTTAAAATAAGCATGAAGCATTCAGGAGAAAACTGATTTGCATGGTTCAGTCTTTGGTGAATGTGTCCTCACTGAACCTTTTTGGTGGCTTATAGAAGATGCTGTCAACACCAGAAAAAAGCAGGGCAAATATGGAACATCTAATTTAGACAGCATGTTTTTTGGAACTAACAAAACCACTACTCAGTAACAGCAAGGTGCAAGGTGAATTTTTAATTTCCATGGCTGTCCCCACCTCACAAATGCGACAGGTTTGCTAAGTGGGCTGCATCATCTGCTGGTGTAAATTGGCTTAGTTGTTTAATGAAAACAGAAACATGAGTTCTAAGGATCTGAGGATGCACAGGTAGATGTTTTTCTTTATCTGATGCTCCCAGAGACAGCTTCCCTTACTGGCTGCCTTTAGTCAAAGTGTTGCTTTCATAATTAATTTCTTTAAAAAGGAGACTGGAAAGAACAAATCTATTTTGGGTCAAGACAGAGAATATTGCCTTACATGTCACTGTCCGAACATGGTGAACAAAGAATTTATTTGGCTGATAGACATTTGGGCTCTTCCATATTGTGGAATTCTGATTCCAGCACTGAAATAGTTGAGTTTGTGTCTCCATACACTGTTTCTCTCTGCGCCGGACAAACAATCTGCAAGGAAAGACACACTGTTACCCAAGTGAGGGAAGGGTGATGTCAGCTGGATCCAAGGGTGTTTTGCAGTGTTCTCATTCTGAGGCAGTTAGTTCTGGTCCATTTCTGCCTGGGAGTTCTGAAAATGCAGTAGCTGAAATAATCCCTTTGGTTTATATCTGCTTTCAGAGGTGTCTGCATTATTTGAAGCTGGCACTTCTGTTACCTATACTTTCCAAGAACCTTACCCTGTCACAAAGAATGCAAGCACCCCAAGCTCTGCCATTTATGTGGATGCTGTTGTGTCCAAGGAGAATATTGCGTTCAGCTTTCTCACAGCACACACTCCAAGCCTTCTGCTGTACATCAACACCTACTTCCATGAATATTTGGCTGTGATTCTCTCCAAGAATGGTGAGTAGTCTTGATTTGCTACCCAAGGGAGGCCAGTGCAACTCTGTGGAGTTTTGGGGCGATTCGTGTGTTCATTTGTTTGTGGGGGTTTTTTTGTGGAGGAATAGTACAGAATTCTGCACTGATATAAGTTCATTTCTATGTCTTCAACTTTATCAACTTCATGGTGTTCAGTTTGTGAAATGGCCATCACTCTTGTTTATGTTCCTTTATTTGGCATTCAGTGCTACAGTTGCATATTCAGTCTTTGAGTAATCATGTTGTTGGGGCTTAAAATGTGCTTTAACTTCCATTTGGCAGGGTTTTACAATAGTATTTCCTTGCTATTTATTCCACAGTAAGATCCATTAGGCCACCAAGATAAGGGAATGAGAAATACCATGTACAAGAGCACTTGGTGCAGAAATACACTATAATTTTATCCTTTGCATTTTGTCTGGGGCCATGTATTGCTCCTCACTGGATTGTTTCAATGGAATAAAGCCATTTTGTCTACATATTAAAGCCAGAATATGTCAGAGTTTTCTAGGTTAATTCACCAAAACATGAGGTGTAAACTGATTTGCTGTTTAAAGATACTTAATGTGGGTACTTTTGGAAAATGTGTAAAGATTTTAGGGGCGTACACCTTGGTCTTCTCAGTAAAACTCGGGCTCCTGAGTCCTTGCAGTGCTTTCAGAAAACTCAATCCAGACAAACATCATCCTAGACAAATGGGGAAATATTAATTTTCCAAGAGTTATCAGGCACTGGAGCACTGGAAGTGATGAGCAAGCATATTCGTGAGTCAGTAGCCTGTGGCAGAACACTAGAATGTTAATGTAATGTGGCTGAATATGTAGATTTGACTGAATGACCCAGACCACTCTGAAGCCTTGGAAATTCCAAAAAAAGTAAGATTTCCAGTACTGTCAAATAAAAACCATAGAAGATTAAAAAAACAATAAAGGTTTTATTGTCAACATAGAGTTTGCAATAGTTTCTCTCTTGTTCATGTCATGTGGCTAATGTTAAAGCTGGCATGGGATAGTGGATTGGCACCCTAATCCCTGGGAGAGGCAACTGGAGTAGAAACTGCCTGAACAGATCTACTCCCAAGGAAGCTTTGGCAGGGAGGTGGGACTGCTGAGGTGACCCTAACCCTCTCCTGTCCAGTCCCGAATTTCCATCTCTAATTTGCTCCTGTAGCCCAGTGTTTATGATTTTCAGATGTATGAATATTCTAGTGTAGCTCCAGGGTGATGGAGGTTAGCCCCTGCTGAGGTGAAACCTTGGAATCTGCTTCTCAGTTACACTCAGGTCTCTTGATGCCACTCAGACAGTTGAAATAGCCCTAAAGTTAATCACAATGTAATACCCATTTAAATCACCTTTATTGCTGCCAGAGTAGTCTGAAATGACCTTAAAAACATGAGTCAATTGACTTCTATTGATGGAATACACCATAAGCAACCTATAATTGTGGAGCTCTAGGAGGGGGTCTCTAATAGTGCTTGGGGTTGGGATCAAGACATGAGGGTGTCCTGTAGCAGCTCAGCAGGAGCAGAGCTTGAGACAATGAAAATGACCTTTCATTTTGTCAGCTGCAAATGTTCCATCAGTTCCCTTTGGCTTAGATGGAAAGAGGCACTCAGCACAGTCAGGCAGCACAAACCATGGTGCTTTTCTCAGATCTGCACCTCTTTTAATTTACTTGTAATGTCATGGTAACAGTTGTTTAGAGGGTTGGTGAGACATCAGGCTCCAAAATTCTGCACTATAATGTGTAGCACTATATGCAAAGAATGTTTAAGATAACTAGCTGACCTTTGTTAGCTCCTGAAAGTCTCCTTCAGGATTACTCAGTGCGTGCTTCTCTGACATTTTTACAAGAAGTCATTGCAGTCATGTATATTCTCTGCCTTTTGTCCCAAATGGAATAATTCGTTAAATTTCATGTCCTTTTACTTTTTAGTCTTGTTGGAATTGAAATTATTCCAATGAAAATAGTGTTCAGATATGTTACTCTTTCTTCCTCCAAGAGGTTTATGCTTGCCATAAAGTTACTGGACTATGAATATCAATGTCCTTTGTAGCATTAAAAGTGAGTGTGATTCCTTCTCTCTTACTGGCTCACTTTCAAGGAATCTTGCTGAGTCTGACAGTGTATGGTAGGACATAAGCAGGTCCCTGCTGGATAACTGATTGGTTAAATAAAGGTTAGGCTCCTGGAGAAATGGGAATGGGCATTCTCACTTAGGAGGTGAGCAAGCTATGGAGTAATACTCCTTAACCATAATCACAAATCCCTTTCCACTTGTTAAAAAAATATGTAGGAACAGTCTGTGTATAATTTAATACTTCACCTTTTGTAACTCTTTTGGTAAGCTACTACTCATGTTATTCTGTTATTCTCTTTTCTGTTATGCACAAAATAACTAGGCAAAGTATTAGTTAATAAAAGTGACTATGAGAAGAATACTTTTCCTACTTCTGACATCTCACATTAAATATTAGACATTAAAGAAGTGAAACTGTTTTCAAGGATTATTCATAATTAGAGTATAATAAAAGGGCTTATATGAAAGTGAAATTGTATAAGCAGCTATGGTCTAATTCAGTCAGGTGTGAAATATTTCCTAAAACCTATTGATTTCAGTAAGTTTTTATATATATAATACTTCTAGAAGCAGTTTCCACCTATAGAACATATTCCATAGCACAGAGTCTGTTCTTACCTCATGTCCTAGAAGTTTACAGGTAAGGTTTCAAAAGCTGATGGTTTTAAAGATGACTTAGGGATTGTTTCCTCCATGAGTTAATAACTGATGCCTTGAAAGCATATGTGTGATTTGAAAATTGTATACATATAAAATACATACATATTGTATACATATACATACATACATATGTACATTGTTGCATCTTCCTTTCCTCCCCAGCCTTTCATGGATTTTCAAATTACAGCTACATATATATGTGTATATATTGTATATGGGTGGATGTGCATATAAAGCTCATGTAGTCCCATTGGCCCCACATCCAAGCAATTAGCAGTACTGGCATGATTGGCATTTTTAATATCTCTTTCTGTAGAAATTTCAAATTATAGTGCCTGTTACTAAGCTACAGAAAATGGGTAAATATCTCTAATTAGTCATCTCAGTGTGCCAATCCACAGAAATTATCCATATCATGGGAAGGTGCTACCAAGAAAAGAGTATTTTTTTTCTTTCCCAAGCTAGCTTTTCACTGTACATTTTTGCAGTTATATGATTTCACAAAGTAACCAGTACCTTTGAGATATTATCTTTGCCTTGCTCCCTAAAGGTAATAAATGACGGGAGAGAAAAGCGTTAAAAGAAAGAATAAATACACTTAAAGTTTATATACAATACACTTTATTTCTCCTTTCTTAGTTTTCCCTACCTCCCTGCAAATAATCATATGCAATATGAACATGCTGAAATATATTGTCTAGAAAATGTTTTAAGAAGTCTTTGATTCTCGGTTTGATTGTCTTTCTCCATAGAAACAATATGATTCCTAATCTAGAAAAAAAAAAGAAGATAGCTGGCACCAAAGAAGAGAGATAGGGATAGAATCTCAAACTATGCTAGAGTGATTGAAAAATTATCTGTATTTATTATCTAATCTCATAAGAAATTAAACTATTTGAGTCCTTTTTTTTTTTCTTTTTCCACCTTTCCAGCATCTATTGCCATCACACTGAGCTGTGTTCTCCATTTCTTTTGGAAAGCAAGACTCTGATTTTGCATAGTAAAGATTAAAGACAAGGAAAAAGGCACAGTTAAAAACAGCAGTACAAATGAAAACATCTCAAGTAATTCTTAAGTCTCTGATATTCAGCAAACAGTAGCAGGACTTATATCAGCTCCACTTCTCTGACCTAGAATGTATTGAAATCAGCTGATATTTGAAGTGAATAGGAAATCACAATGTGTAACAGAGGTAAGCTGAGTTAACACTCTAAAAAAGAAAAGAAACAAATATTGTCAGTGAGAAGCTACTGATTCATTTTTTCTTATAAACTCCTAATCTCCTGTAATCTCTTCCTGTCTCTGAGTCAGAAACAGCTTTTCTAATGAAAGCATGTAAATTCTCCTTATTGTTTTTGCCTTCAAGTATGTTGAGCTGCATCTCCAACAGGCAAAGCTTTTCTCACTCAGTGGAAAATAGATGCAAAAAATCCAGTTCAGTCTTTGAGGCAAGGAATCTTTTGATCCTGTTCCCACTGTGCCCTCTGAAGTTTAATGGGTCAAAACTAAAACGGGAAATAGGACTTGGGTGGATTTCAGAGGGTGATTCTTCTGGTTCCTTTTCCTTACTTGCTTTCCTTCCTGTCTTGGTTTTGGGATATTAACTTCAGAAAGTTATTGCTTCAGAAGGACCCTCTCAACTACTCTATTGCTTGTGCAGTTGTCTTCTCTTTTGAGAACACCTTGTGCCTTACAGACTTGCAGCAGGCATTGAACAGCCTGCGCGCTTTGTGTGACTGAAGTGGGAAATGGTGACATGGTTCAGGTATAGTTGCTTTTAACAGATCAGGAGCAGGAAAGAAAGTCCTGTTGGGAAGTGTGGGAGACAGCTTTGTGGAGGAGACGAGTAACTGTGAGTGACTGAGAATTGCTCCCAGTCTAGCTCTGGTTCACAGCCATTATGTGGCAGATAGCATGTATGTCTTCTAAATATAATTGCAAGCAACTGTTGCAGTTGGCCCCTGAAATCTCATTTTATTTACTGGGTGAAGGACCAGAGACAGTTTGATCAGTGAATATAAAAGAAATTTCCCCCAGTTGCCTTAAATGGGAAGCTGGCTTTGGTACCACGAGTAGGCAGGGTTGGGGTGGAAGGAGATTTATCTATCAGCTTATTTATCTAAAGAGAGAGATTTCTGTTGTTAGAAATCCCTCTGGTCACTTAGATGTTTCCTTGCTGTAAGCAACTTCACGCAAAATAGGAGTGCTGATTAAAGTTTTCACTTCAAATCCAGTACTAAA